GATAGAAAATGCACAAGCTAAATGGAGGCCATCAAAAGAGTCAGAGTTCTGTTTCACCAAAAGGAATGAATACTTATGAGAACAGTTCAAACATGAGCACTGAAATGCACATTTATAATAGATGGAAGAGAGAAGTCCAGCATGGATTTTAATTGATGGAAGACTTTGCTATCTTGAAGTAGCTAAAAGTTACTTCTTGAGAGTCCATGGCTGTGAAGCACACATCCTCACTGTGTCTGGACATTGCCTTTGATGTGCCCTACTATTAGAAGAGCACAAATCAACACTTGCAGTGAATAGATACTTTTGGGTGCTGACAAAGAACGATGTGGCTATTTCAGGAAATATATTGATGCCATCTAATAGTAGGTGTAGCCAAGGGAAGGATCCTAATTTCATTGCTACATTACAAGAGTTACTATGGGAAATGCTTAGAAAATATTCCAAGTAATCATAAACCTATGCCTGATATCTTTTTTTTTACATAATTCAGTAAAATCAAGTAGTCATATACTCTGAATTTTTCCAATTATCATAATTTCAAACTAACCTTATAAAAGTTATTTCTCACACTAGAAACCCAAACTGAAGCAATAAATTTGAGTCCACATGAAAGAAGATATTTTCTAGTATTCTGTAAATTATCCAAGATGTTTTGCATAAAGATATTTCATAGTGAGATTGTTAACCATAATCAAAAGTTTTCACACCCAGGCACATCTGATATTTTTCCATCTGGTCACAGCACTGTAGAGCATTTTTATAGAACAAAGTTATAGATTTGGCCTTACATGTCATTTTCTTTCAATCATCTTTAAACTAGCTTTGAAACAAAATACATGCTTATAATTATAAAGTTTGTAAAATGTTTGCAACAACCTTAAAATGTAGGTAATTACAATGGTGTAAAAAGAATCAAGCATTGACCTAACACTGAAGACCATATAATGCTGTATAGTCACTTCCTTGTTTTAATATATTCATTTAATAATATAAATACTGATTGCATCATTAAAATTGTTTATTAGCATAATTTTCTGAAGTTGAAATTTACCCTATGGCTAAGTCATGCCATTTAATTATAGTTCTATGTTAATTTGCTCAGGTTGCTTATTAAATGTTTTATTTTGTGTGAATATGTTCATTTTTATCAATCATTTACAATTACTTTAGAGAAGGGCTCTTTTCTTTTTAATCATGTGAAAAATATAAATTTGTATATTTGAGAAACAGAGAGTTCACAACTAAAACTATTTACTCTTGTTTGATTTTGTGATCTGTGTTTGTACAAGAGTGCTCTAGTTTCTTTCAATGACATCTTCCTCAAGAAACAGAATGTGGATGTTGGATTAGTAGTTATGTACGATTCCTCTTCCTGTTGTGAAATTCTTTATTGCTGCAGCTTGTTAATATATTCATGTTAATAAGCCATTATTAACCTTTCATTCATAATATCAGTTAATTCTATTTTTAGCCTACACAGTTTCAGCAAAAGAAATCAAAAAAGCAAATGACACTATAAAGAAGTACATAGGAAATAATAAAACATCAAAACCCAAAAGTACCAGGATGAGACATTTGTGTTCTTGAGTCTTCTTTGGTACATTATATAGTATAGGAACATAGGGGGACTTTAAATTAGTTGTAGTCAGCTAACCACACCTCCTGTAGTCGATTACCTATATGGCTACAAAGGAAACAAACCATGCAGATCCTACAACAAGGCTGATTACTATCCAAAGACATGAAGTATGTGAGAAGTGGTGACATGCACTGTGATGTTGAGTGGGAGCCAAATAAAGACAAAAAGTTTTGTTTCATTCTACGTACAAGGGAAGAGTCCCAGACAACCTTCCGTCATGTAAGCTGTCCATGTCAAGGAAAGAACATTACCTAATTCAAGGGGAGAAATGAATCAAGAATGCCTGTGAAAACATGAAGTTCACTCACCCTTTAAATACACTGACAGGTAACCAAACCTCTCCATTGAAAACTTTAACAGAAACTCTAATTCTCAAGACTATATTTTTAAAAGTATAAATGCTAAGATTTAATGTTAGAATTTAATGTTTAGAAAAGAAAAGTTAAAATGATTAACAGATGAATCATATAATCAATGGTTAGTAGAAAAGGCATTTGGAAATCTCTACACTCAGGCCAGGTGTTGTGGTGTGCACCTGGATTCCAGCCCTTGGGAAGCCAAAGCCTGAGGCTTGTAGGTTCAGGGCTGGCCTGAGATACATAGGGATACTCTGTCTGAGAGACCAGCCAAATAATAAAATAAAATAAATTTCTATATCAAACATCACAGCTTAGACTTACAAGGATTGTATGGAATTTATGTAACTGTTTATGCATTGTTTGTTTGCTTGTTTTGCTTTGTTTTGGGAACTCACCAGGAAGTTTTCCTAGTGAAAGATGCTATTGGAGCCAAATCAAAGAGCGCATTTTAGAAGCAAAAACTCATGAAAACACAACTAGGTTATTATATGATATGAGGAATGTCTTCTTTTTTTAATTATAGGGAAGATATTTCACTTAAATTTGGATAACAGAAAGAATATTAGTTTGCTGAATGGAAATTAACATTATGTTTACTAATAAAACTAAAGTTTTAGAAGTATTTTTTATCTATAATAGGGGGATTAATAGGGTTCAAAATAATTTTGTTTTTACTTAAATCATTGGTTCTATTATAATTAACAAATAGATTTCACCTAAAACATTGCTATAAACCAAATGGCATTGAGAGATACATAAATAAATGTTTGTCAAAGTTTTATGTGATGTAATTACTTATTGTAATAAACAGTTATTAAGTGTAGGGCAGAAAAAGGAGTCACAAGAGCTGTACAATCCATAGGACACAGTGAAGACACTATGAAATTCCCAGCACCCAACTCAGTTTTATTACTGCCCTTTTCATTTTTAAAAATGTGGCTGTATATGCATAATCATATATGTTAATATGTATGCATGTCTTGGTTTATGAATGTGTACCTGTGTGTGGGCTTAGGACATGGGCAGTGGTTGATACCCGGTATCTTCTTTAAGCATTGTACAACTCACATTTTTGAGCCAGAGTCCCTTACTGAACTTGGAGCTCAGCAGTTAGCATAGACTGGCTGACTATAGGCACCTTCCACTAATGCCTTGCTTTGTATATGAATTTTAGGGATCAAATTCAGGTTCTTGTGCATCCATAACAAGCCTTTGCCCCCAAGCCATCCTTCCAGCTCTCTTCTTTTTCCAGTAGAAAAGCAAAGAGAAACCAACTGATTGGAAGTTGTAATAATTATATTTACAGCATTTCACCTATTATCAGTAACTTAATATACACCTGACTAAAGTGAAATAATATTCCTTATGGGCTTGGCCAATAATGTAGTACATGTACTCTTATTGGTCAAAGAAACAGAGCTATATTCAAGTGACTTATTTTCTTTCAAGTAGTTACTTGAGTTCCTCACTTATAGACAACTTCCCTGCATTGCAAGAAGCACAAAGAATTCCCAACATTTCTCATTTCTCTTTCATCTTTGGTAGAACATAGACTAAGTAATATTTTTAAGTAATTACTTTTCAAAGGCAAGTATAGGCCTTAGGATTTTTTTTTTAAAAAATCATCAGTATGACCAGAGAAAAAAAAGGAATGGTGTATTAAAATTTCTCCCACAATTCCACATATTAATTCAAATCCACTTCTTATACTTTCAACCAAAGTTAAGCCCAAGTGGCCAGCATATTCCATGGCAGTTAACACTAGCTCATAATATATGTAGGAAACTCTTTCATTAGAGACCACAACCTCTTAATTTTTGACAAAATGTGAGGCTGTATTTTTTATACAAGCATATATAAAGATGCTAAATGATTGCTTCCTCCTATACATGCACAACAAATATACCTTTAGGATGGCAAATGTAAGTTCTTAAACAGACCAGCCAAACAAGTAATCAGCTTCAGTTTCCATTGGCTAAGAAAGTCTCCATTTTCATAATGAGTAACCATGAAGACTCAGAGAGAATGTCTATATGCAATTAAAGTGAAGAAAAATCCATAAAATATCAGTGTAGTCACATTCTATGGATAAGCATGGAATAGAGTGTGTCTGCGTTTCTGCTATAAGTTAAATGCTAACAAAATGTCACTTATGAACAGTACCAGAATGTGCCACCCCCAAGCATGCCACTCTGACACAAGAATTACTTTGAGCTAAGGGTACTTGAAAAACAACAGACAGGAGGTGGGCACACTAATCTCCTCTTTTCTTCTTGAAAACAGGAGATTAAAACTCCCAGGCAAAAGCTGTCCTCCCTCTAGTTGAAGACAAGACACATTCTTCAGTGGAGTCATAGCTAAGGAAGCTTGACTTCTTCAAGAAATGTTTATCTTCCTTTAGCCACTCCACATAATTTAGTTACCTAATACAAAGGCAGGTGAGTTTCAACGTTTTTAGAGGTCTTTGCTTCTTTATGAGGGCTTTTGTGGCATCTAAAACATTAAATTTGTATGTATCATTCTCCTGATGATCTGTTTGACATCAATTTTATTGTCAGACTGAGATGCAACCAAAATAGAGAAGCAAGGGAACCCATATCGCCCACATTAACTACTTTAATTTATACTGCTATTGTATTGAATAAAGATTTAGAAAAGTGTTGCCTCTTTGTCTTTTTACATATTCTATTGGTTAAACATTAACTGAAAACACAGGCAGAGAGAATACCTGTGAATGAATGAAGGTCTTCCAATTGGAAAGTCAAACAGTCTTGAAACACACACACACACACACACACACACACACACACACACACACACACACACACACACACACACACACACACTTTGATAGCCTAAAGGAATTTACCGGCATAAAGTGTTCTATTACAAATTCTCTGATCAGTCTTGGTTAAAAGACCAGAGAAAACTGTTGGGTTACATTTACTTTCTACCTCTGAAATGCAACTTTCTCAGAAACAAGGCACAAACTGACTTACCGGTCCAAAAGAATTACTATCGAAACTGTGTCCATGGTGATCGCCTTCAACCCACATGTGACCACGGGGGACTTTGACCAAACGGTTTTTGTGTCCAATGGTTCTGAAAACAAACAGTGAGACCAATGAGATAAGAGTAAGAAGGGGACTTTACAATTTAGATACAGAATCAGGAAGGGCAGAACAGCTATTAGAAAGATAAGAGTAGCTAACCCAGAAATTAAGCATAGCCTCCTCTACAGTAAGCTATGGTTCTAAACTGTCCACGGGAACCTTGCATAACACATACAGCTTTGGGGAAACAAAAAGGGCAAAGGTAAGTTTTTAAATAGACCAGACAAATGAGAAATCAGCTGTAGTTTCCACTGACAAAGATATTCTTCACTTTAATAATGAGTTACTATATAGATTCAAAAATAGATAAATTCTATATGTACTCAAAGTGAAGAAAATCAATAAAATAACTGTAGTACATATTGTATGAACAAGCAAAGAATATAGTTCTTCCTTTGTATAAAGAACAAAAACCTGCTAAAAGAACAAGCACAAACACCAAATATAGTGTTTTGCCACTTAATTTTATTCACAATATCCATAATAAATACTTAAAAATTTGAACATATCTCAATGAAATGAAGAGCTGTTTGTCTTTACACTAGTGCTTAACTGTTTCAGTATATTCATGGAAATTAAGAATCAAAACTGGGGACTGGTGGGAAGGCTCAGAGGTTAAGAGCACTGGATGCTCTGCCTGTGGACAGAGGTTCAGTTCTGAGCACCCACATGGTGGCACAAACTCTAACTTCAGTTTCAGAGGATCTGACACTTCCTTCTGGCCTCCATGTGCACAAGGCATATATGCTGGTGTACAGGCATGTGTGAAGACAAAACATGCATACACATAAAAAATGAAAGATGTGAAAACTCAACATTTGTAGGAAAGAAAGGAATCTTGATAATTTTTAGACACCTGTACACTCAGTATTATTTGAAAACTTAATCAAAACTATGTTTTTCTTAAAAAGAAACTTTGAACAATCCTGAAGAGGAAGATTCAATGAAAGATAACATACAGGAGATATTCATATTCTTAACACTGGAAAAGAAGGGGGTATGGACACACTCTCTCACACTGTTGATGGTTGTGGGAAAGGATTCAAACTTTCTGCTTCTATTTCTATTTTTGGGCAATGTTTTATGTTTATGCCTTGTGGCCTACTAGTAAAACCTGATTGCTAAGAAATATTAGAAATACGAACAAATGTTTGTTATAAGGGATACTCAACCCACACTTTTTACAGCTCCCACTCCTAAAATGTAATTTACCCAAATAATTAGTAGCACAGTGTTGGTAAATAAATTATGAAACAGCTAACTAAATATAAGACAATTAAAATTTGATTTAATTATCACAAAAACAATTCTTTTGGGAGCAGATAAGTTCATATTTCCTTCATCTTCTATAGCACCCTGGAGAACAAACACTAACTTAAGCTTCTCAATAAAGGTTTTCTGAATGAATGAGTAAACAAGTGAATGAAATACCCTCAAAGCCAACACATTCAGAAATTGAGCTGGGCATACTGTTCTTTGATAGGGACACTCTCTGAGGCCAGTCTGTTAGTTAGCAAGCTGTGTATGCACAGAAGACTGTGTTAAAAGGGAAAAGCACACATAAATTGGTGCTATAGAAATTGAAACTATTCATTATCTTGGATGGTTTTTAATTTTCAAGATAATTTCTGTGCTGAATTGCTTTGCTTTAGATCAGTAAGTCATCCATGCATGGAAACAATATTATGGCCATTAGAACCCCACAGTAAGTTAATGGTTGCTGTTTGTTTTTAATTACTATAGGGAAGGAGGTTTTCAGCTTTTTTTTTTTTTTTTTTAGAGAAAAGCAAAAACAAATTTAACACATCTTACCCTCATATACTTTTCAATAGAAGTGTTCTTCAATTAAAGTCAGTCCATTAGTTCTTGATATCATTACTGCATGAGCTAGTGTCTAATAACCAACACCCACATCAAATGAAAGTGATGAGAAGAACTTATGGTTAACTGCTCTTAAAGGTATCATCTCCTAATATATGCAAACATTTGTTCACCTTATTAAATTGAGCATTTTGAATAAATGACAAAGGAGTGTATGTATATGAGAAACTATACTAACATAGTACTTTGGTTTTCAGACATTTACTATAGATCTTGGTGTGTACTTCCCAAGGATGAGTTGTGTATGTATATGTTCACAGCATTCTGGGTTATCTCACTGGAGCAAAGAAGTAAAGGACCCTCTAAATGAAATGCCTTACTATTGATGTAAGCATGGCCTAGATTACAGTTCCTGTTCTATCTACCCATCTTCACTTATATTTTTGTAGTTGTTGTTGTTGCTAGGAAAGTTTTCAGGGAAGGAACCAAAATGAGTCTTCAGTAAGAGGCTTGGTAAGCTAAGACACAAACAATCTGTCAAGTTTGGGAAGAGAATGAGCTTATTTCAGAAATTATCATAAAGTCTTCTGGACCTTGAGACCTAAATGCATAGACTATTAGTTGTGTAAAAAAATTTAAAATAAATCCAACACAAAATGATATCAACAATGAAATACAGGCAAAACATATTCTTCTAGAAGCTACAATGATGTAAAAGTCAGATTATATTTTAGGTGCTATAAGAACCAATATATTTGTGACAGAAAATTACAGTGCCATCAAAGTACCAGTGAAGGCATCAGATTTCCTTGCAGTGACCATCTTATGTAAGGACTTTAAGCAGTTGCTTTATCCCATCATTTTCTAGTCATTTACAATGTTTTGTTTTTCCTTCCTTTCTTCCTTCCTTCCTTGCTTCCTTCCTTCCTTTCTTTCTTTCTTGTACACTAACATTGGACTTGGGTTCATAGAATTATTTATTTACTATCTATGTATCCCTGTTAAATTGTGACCTATGGAAATGTACTTCTCTTATAGAATATCCCTAGAGCATAAAATGTTCAATGAATATTTATTAGATAAATGGCAAGTGAATTTAGAACTGATGAAAAATAATGCCACAGAGGTGGACTAATTCTATAGAAAGCACACTGATTCTAGAACAGGCTAAAGACGTTTCAACCTTAATTCTGTGATTTACAAGTAAACTTGTAAATTACAATTATTTGCTACTTTTACAAGAGGATGAACAACATTTGCCTTAACTAGGTTCAGATTAAGATTAGAAATGAGCTGTAAACACTGTAAGGGAAAATTGCTATCTACCTTAATCTCTGGAGTTAGCTTATCTTGGTTTATTTGTTTGACACTATCACATGCATATGATTTTGCACAACTTGATAAAATTCAATGGAATAGTTTCTCATTTACAACTATAGGCAAAAGTAGAGAGAGAGAGAGAGAGAGAGAGAGAGAGAGAGAGAGAGAGAGAACACTTAACATTGAGCTATTCAATGGGTAGCATGCACTGAACACTATATGAATGCACCATCTTAGACTTGAAGCTATTCTTACATCAGCACTAGACATGATTCTGATGTTCATTTAGAACCCAATAAGTGGTAGTAATTATTCCCAGTCTTCCCTTGTCCTTTATTTTCCTTCATTTTGTAATTCAGAATGTGCTGAGTCTCACTATCAGTATCAATCTTCAAATTACCGGATATACCTCAACATGTTTTTTTCTCTCGAAGATATACTGTGCCTGTGACTATTTTTGATGATACATTGATTCTTTTTTCTTTCTTCCTTTCCCTTGTGGGATACATTAAAACTATAAGAAGGGATATCTGTTTGCACATATTCAAATATTTAGAGAGTAATAGGTAAAGGCCTGATCTATCTGTGGCTTCATCTACCAGTCTTGCATATTTCAATTCTTCTATGCTAATACATAGTGGCTTACATGGATAACAGTCAGATTTGGGGAAAATATTATAAATAGAGAAATCTGGTAAACATTGTGCTGTGTGGATGGGATGAACTCTATCTCTTAATCTCTTAGAGTGTATCCAACTTTTAAAATAGTGACTTAAAAATATGATGGTAAATTACTGGGCTACTTCCTTTTAGGGCAGCGAAGGAAATGCAATACTGCTAATAGAATTTCTCTAGAGAAGGAATTTTAAATAGCTTTTTGCTCCTGAACTCACATAAAAGACAAGATAATCCTTTAGCTGATTTAACAGGTAAGTGAGGTGTCAGCCTACAAGGTTGTATGTATCTATAGCTTGCAAATAATTCTGGTTTTGACAGTCAAAAATGAGTTCTGTATGGTACTTTAACTACCTGTCTAAAAGGAGACATTTTTAGTACTAGCTTTACTAAGACAAGTTACCAGGCCTTATAAATGGAATGAAGAATGATTGCCTCCAATTTTATTTGACCTTGAAAACAATGTGTTTAAGTCTCTAGATATTTTAAGTATCATCAGTTGAATACAAAAGTACTGTCCATGTAATTCTTAGAACTGTAAGAAGAAAAGTGCTTATTAAATATTTCTCTGTGTTTTTCTCTTTCTCTCTTACACATGTGCTCTCTCGCCTTCTCTTAGTAATTTGTATTAACAATTCATCACTCATTAAGGATATCATTTTAAGCCATTCTACTGAATTTTCTGCATGTACAAGGCAGTGATGATCTGTACAGCTGGCTGCTCACTGGATCCCAGATCCCTGCCTTTCTGTTTTCTTAAGGAAAGCCAGTAACCAACAATCCTCCATGGCCTCTGCTGCAGTTCCTGCCTTGAACCCCACTACGAACTCTACCTCTTCCTGTCTGCCATTCTCTCCCTACCCCGGCTTTCCTCAATTAGGGGCTATCAGCTGGAAGTGTAACATGAAATAATCCTTTCCTCCCCAAGTTGTTTTTTTTTTTTTTTATCAGTGTTGTATAACAGCAACAGAAAGGCGGTCTAATACAGCAAGAAAGAACAGGAATGTATTCATATGGAAATATATTTTTATTTTCCTAGGTAAAGAATCTAAGAGTAAAATTTGCAAAAATAAAAAATACACTTGATCTTAGTCAAAAGTCCAGGAGGCAATATAAATAAAAAATAATGTTTAATTAGAAAAAGAATTGCATTAGTTTATGCTACTGATACAT